CGAAAAATTTGCATGTTTGCGTTTAAAAAAAAGGCAGAAGGAAATGGAATTGGACGCTGATATTTGGTAATTTTGTTTATCTACAGACATACTTTCTGAATATACAATAAAAAGACAGCACAATTTTCCATCGCAGTGGCACTTTAACGCTTATAATTAATTGTTATAATTAGTCGTTCACATTCTTGAGAAGCTTTAGACTATTGTGATTGTGTTCACAACAATAGACAAGACAATGTCTTTCTTATCGTTTGCGTTTGCTGATATATTTGCTGAATATTAATGATATGTATATATTATTTGCTACGAATACAGTCAAAAATTGCTTGTGAAATATATTATTTGCTACGAATACTGTCAAAAATCGAACACCGTCAATCGATGCGGAATATTGCTTAGAATAATTGAGTCAAATTTCATTCCGATCAGACAAGTAATGACGGAGCCTTAGGGTTTTTTCAAAGAGCGTCGCCCCCTAACAACAACAACAACAACAACAACAACAACAACAACAACAACAACAACAACAACAACAACAACAACAACAACAACAACAACAACAACAACGCCAACAACATCAACGACAACAACGACAACAACGACAACAACGACAACAACGACAACAACGACAACAACGACAACAACGACAACAACGACAACAACAACAACAACAACAACAACAACAACAACAACAACAACAACAACAACAGCAGCAACAGCAACAACACCGACAACGACAACGACAACGACAACGACAACGACAACGACGACAACAACGACGACGACGACGACGACGACGACGACGACGACGACGACGACGACGACGACGACGACGACGACGACGACGACGACGACGACGACGACGACGACGACGACGACGACGACGACAAAAACAAGATTAGCAGCGATTGGGGAACAGTTCCTGTTCCAACAATTTAACCAACAGTCTTAGTTGTAATATTTTTTGACACTATCGTCTGCTATTTGTATCAATAAACATGTTTTAAACGTTGCAAAGTTGCGTTGTTATGTGTTGCTAAGTCATTAGGTGGCGTGTAGGTAATTAAGGGATTAAGCGAACAAAAAATTTGCATAACTAAGGCCGCGTTTACACTATGACGCTACGGCTAAACACTCCGTTAAAAATTACTACGTTTCTAGTATTGAGACTATGTTATGTTTACACTATAACGGAGTGGTTTGCCGTAGCGTACTAACTAGGGAATTATATTGTGTTTACACTATAACGGAGTGGTTTGCCGTAGCGTACTAACTAGGGAATTATATTGTGTTTACACTATAACGGAGTGGTTTGCCGTAGCGTACTAACTAGGGAATTATATTGTGTTTACACTATAACGGAGTGGTTTGCCGTAGCGTACTAACTAGGGAATTATATTGTGTTTACACTATAACGGAGTGGTTTGCCGTAGCGTACTAACTAGGGAATTATATTGTGTTTACACTATAACGGAGTGGTTTGCCGTAGCGTACTAACTACGGAATTATATTGTGTTTACACTATAACGGAGTGGTTTGCCGTAGCGTACTAACTAGGGAATTATATTGTGTTTACACTATAACGGAGTGGTTTGCCGTAGCGTACTAACTAGGGAATTATATTGTGTTTACACTATAACGGAGTGGTTTGCCGTAGCGTACTAACTACGGAATTATATTGTGTTTACACTATAACGGAGTGGGTTGCCGTAGCGTATTATTAACTGCGGAAATCAATTTCGTTAAAAATTCACTACGTTTCTTAGTATTGTGTTTACACTATAACGGAGTGGTTTGCCGTAGCGTATTAACTACACACCACTACGTTTGGCACTCCGGATGCAAATCACTACGCTACGGTAAATTTGCCGTAGCGTCGTAGTGTAAACGCGGCCTAAGTGTATCCAATGGATAGATATGGATATAATTACGTGTTTGGTGTAAGCATAGTTTATCTAATTTTTATGTCAAGGAAACTGTAATGCCTTGGTGGCCGAATAGTATGGCATTGGGGTTTGTCCCAAAATAAGGGGGTTCGAGTCCCTCACATGGCGAAATTTTTATCGAAATGTATAGCAGAGTTATACCCATCTCGGAAGAGATAAGTCGCGTATAGCAGATAGGTTTATTACAAGGGCGTAAGACATTAAAAGCGGACGCGTGGCTTTGCGGGCAAAAATTTACACAAGAATTTAGATTTAAAACACATTTATTTCTTCAAAACGTTTTACAAAATTTAGTAAGGTCTACTTCTAAGAGCGTAACGTCTTACGTCTAGGTTTTTTTGTTATTTTTAAAGAGTTCTCATATTCCTGTCTGTCTTCTGGGGATAACTTTGCAATTTTCTCCGGCTTCATCGGAATATATTTTGGTCTGTCGCTCAATATAAAACATTCATAATCCTCTCTTGCTTCCGGAGTCATTCGTGCTAGGTCACGTTTGGTCCAATCTGCTGGGTCGACCCAATTGTGGAAAAAGTTGCGCTTGAGTTTTGGTCGTTCCTCTTCTGTTGGTGGTGGCCTAAGGAAATTAGGTTTAGGAGTAGCAGGTACTGGTGGTGTTATCTCAACAGATTCTTTGGGTTGTGGCATCTCTGCAGGCACTTGTGGGATACTTTGAGCAGGAATTCCAGGAGAAGAATGAGCCATCTTATTTTTGAATGCAAGAAACCGGTTTAGCTGATCAGAAGATAATTTGCTTTTTTCCACGGCGCTAAGCTGTAGCACTTCCATGATTTCTTTCATTCGCTGCTCGGCATCATACATTGCATTTAGAAGTGGTGGTTGTTGATACGATTGTTTTTGTATAAACCTTGCAATCTCGCCGCGAAGTATATTCGTCTTAAGTCGATCTTGATCACTCGTTGTTGGCTTTAAATCCAACATCAAATACCCATGAGGTCGACTCGTAGCATCTTCATATAGAAATTTGCTGTTTATCTCTTGGTGACTTGAACAGCACAATATAATGGGCGTTTAGACTGATATTTCTCATTTCTTCGCCCTGATGAAATATATTTTGAACAGTGTAGATGATGGACAAATTTCGATGACGACTTCCTTTCGTAAAAAGATCAGAAATACGTTTATCTTTGCCGGTTTGTGCCATAAGATCATCCAATACGATCAAATTCCGTTGCGATACGTCCAAGTAATCTCCGTTGTCGATATCGTCGGGAATGCCTTTATTGAACTCGATTCCAGGCATCATCCGTAACATATAAAAATAAGTTGGTTGCTATTGACCATAACACCAAATGATACGTTGAGGAGGTGGACTTATCGTTTTCTGTGCATTCTCCAAGAGAGATTTCACCCATACAGTCTTGCCGCTTTGTGTACACCCGGCTACGATGCATGTGAAAGGATGCTGCAAAACCGCAGTTCCTGCTGAGATTTCAACTCGTTTGCTTTGAACATCTCCATGGATATTCAAAGTATGACGCTTGAGGTTGCCGCGTGTTGAAAATACTTTGGCACATATATTGCACGGAAAGGACATGTTCACACCACGAACGTCTAGCTGTAAGTGATAATAAGTTGGTGTATTCGTTCTACATATTCATTTATGTATCCAGTATCCTTCCTTATCTTCCATATATTTATCTTCCTTATCCTTATCTTCTTATCTTCCTTGTCCTTATCTTCTTATCGTCCTTATCCTTATCTTCCTTATCTTTATCTTCCTTATCCTTATCCTTATCTTTATCCTCTTATCTTCCTTATCCTTATTCTTATCTTTAACTTCTTATCTTCCTTATCTTTAACTTCTTATCTTCCTTATCTTTATCTTCCTTATCTTTATCTTCCTTATCTTTATCTTCCTTATCGTTATCTTCCTTATCCTTATCTTTATCTTCCTTATCTTTATCTTCCTTATCCTTATCTTTATCTTCCTTATCTTTATCTTCTTATCTTTATCCTTAACTTCTTATCTCCCTTATATTTATCCTCTTATCTTCATTATCCTTATCTTTATGTTCCTTATCCCTATCTTTAAGTTCCTTATCCTTATCTTTATCTTTCTTATCCTTATCTTTATCTTCCTTATCCTTATCTTTATCTTTATCTTGATTATCCTTATCTTTATCTTCCATATATTTATCTTCCTTATCCTTATCTTCTTATATTCCTTATCCTTATCTTCTTATCTTCCTTATCCTTAAAGATAAGGATAAGGAAGATAAGGATAAGGAAGATAAGAGGATAAAGATAAGGAAGATAAAGATAAGGATAAGGAAACTTATCCTTATCTTTATCTTCCTTATCTATATCTTCTTATCTTCCTTATCATTATCTTCCTTATCCTTATCTTCCTTATCCTTATCTTCCTTATCCTTATCTTTATCTTTATCTTCCTTATCTTTATCTTTATCTTCCTTCTCTTTATCTTCCTTATCCTTATCTTTATCTTCTTATCTTCCTTATCCTTATCTTTATCTTCCTTATCCTTATCTTTATCTTCCTTATCCTTATCTTTATCTTCCTTATCTTTATTTCCTTATCTTTATCCTCTTATGTTTATCCTTATCTTTATCTTCCTTATCCTTATCTTTATCTTCCTTATCCTTATCTTTATCTTCCTTATCCTTATCTTTATCTTCCTTATCTTTATTTCCTTACCTTTATCCTCTTATGTTTATCCTTATCTTTATCTTCCTTATCCTTATCTTTATCTTCCTTATCTTATCTTAACTTCCTTATCCTTATCTTTACTTCCTTATTCTTATCTTTATTTTCCTTATCCTTATCCTCTTATCTTTATCCTTATCTTTATCTTCTTATCTTCCTTATATTTATCCTCTTATCTTCCCTATCCTTATCTTTATCTTCCTTATCCTTATCTTTATCTTCCTTATCTTTATTTCCTTATTTTTATCCTCTTATGTTTATCCTTATCTTTATCTTCCTTATCCTTATCTTTATCTTCCTTATCTTATCTTAACTTCCTTATCCTTATCTTTACTTCCTTATTCTTATCTTTATTTTCCTTATCCTTATCCTCTTATCTTTATCCTTATCTTTATCTTCTTATCTTCCTTATATTTATCCTCTTATCTTCCCTATCCTTATCTTTATCTTCCTTATCCTTATCTTTATCTTCCTTATCTTTATTTCCTTATTTTTATCCTCTTATGTTTATCCTTATCTTTATCTTCCTTATCCTTATCTTTATCTTCCTTATCTTATCTTAACTTCCTTATCCTTATCTTTACTTCCTTATTCTTATCTTTATTTTCCTTATCCTTATCCTCTTATCTTTATCCTTATCTTTATCTTCTTATCTTCCTTATATTTATCCTCTTATCTTCCCTATCCTTATCTTTATCTTCCTTATCCTTATCTTTATCTTCCTTATCTTTATTTCCTTATTTTTATCCTCTTATGTTTATCCTTATCTTTATCTTCCTTATCCTTATCTTTATCTTCCTTATCTTATCTTAACTTCCTTATCCTTATCTTTACTTCCTTATTCTTATCTTTATCTTCCTTATCCTCTTATCTTTATCCTTATCTTTATCTTCTTATCTTCCTTATATTTATCCTCTTATCTTCCCTATCCTTATCTTTATCTTCCGTATTATTATCTTTATCTTTCTTATCCTTATCTTTATCTTCTTATCCTTATCCTTATCTTTATCTTCTTATCTTTATCTTCTTATCTTCTTACCCTTATCTTCTTATCTTCCTTATCTTTATCTTCTTATCTTCCTTATCCTTATCTTTATCTTCTTTATCTTTATCTTTATCTTCCTTGTCTTTATCTTCTTATCTTCCTTATCTTCCTTATCTTTCTTATCCTTATCTGACATGCACATGGAGTCAATTTCGATAAGCTCAGATCCGAGCTCTCAATAGCTCGGAGCCTTGTCTAAATTGCTTTCTCTCTTCCAATATAAGCCTCCTTGTTGTTGTGTTTTACTAATTTGCTTCCAAACCGTCGAACAGAAATGATCAATCATCTAAGGCACAAGCCATTTCTTGAACTGCTGGGCACGTCTGAGCCTGATCAACAACAAGCGCTACTGGAAACAGCAACCGCCGAGCAAGTACACTGCCTGTGCCTCTGTGTAGAAAACGTTATGAAAAGAAAATATTTTATGCCGAAGCATGTAATGAAGAAACTCCGACCTTACAAATGCTTAGGTTGGCAGATAGAGGAAAATGTGGAAGAAGAAAAAAACGGATACTCGTTTAACATGGCAACGGTTTCCTTGGACTATTACTAAGTCCTATTTTGGAAAGCCTGGCTGAACTTGTATAAAAGCCCTGTGACTAGCTACAATTTATACATCATCTCAACATTGAACATCGACAGTAAAACATCTCCGCTACATTGGCGCATTGAAGATATACTTTTGTATCTGAACAATAATGTCAAAAAAACTACAGCAGAAAAAATTCTACATTCTATTCTTATATCAAGCGATATTTTAACTTGGAATCCTCAGGGGGAGATTGTTTATCATGGAAGAGACATTCCTGGTACTGACATTGAGAACCTTTTACAATACGCCATACAACTCTCGCATTCCTGAACCACGAGGGCTCGACCTGTTTACAAAAGGCGTAGTAGAAGCAGGGATTAATAAGATTTAATTAAAAATGAATACTTATTGTCAAAAATGGCAAAGGAGGAATATGAAATGCCGCAATCTGAGAGTGATGTTGAAAGCGGATCTGGTGAAGAGGACAGGAAATCTGATAAGAGTGATAATGAAAGCGAATATGATGATGATGATGGTGATGATAATGAGGAGCATGATGATGATGGTGATGATAATGAGGATGATGGTGAGTCCGAGCAACTAGCTTGTAACCATTGTGGAAAGGAGACTGGTCACATTGTATACTTAATGAAGTGTCCAAGATGTTCGTGGAAAGATTTCTACCGGGGCAAAAATGCTCAATGTATGATATGTGATGAACAGTCACCTCTAATGTTTTCGCATGTCATTGGTTTCTGCGAGTTATGTTCATATGGTACGTCTAACGGCAAGGCGGGTGGAGACAGGTGTATATATACATTTCGATAAAAATATCGCCATGTGAGGGACTCGAACTCCCTTATTTTGGGACAAACCCCAATGCCATACCATTCGGCCACCAAGGCATTACAGTTTCCTTGACATAAAAATCAAATAAACTATGCTTAATACACCAAACACGTAATTATATCCATATCTATCCATTGGATACACTTAGTTATGCAAATTTTTTGTTCGCCTAACCCTTAATTACCTATACGCCACCTAATGACTTAGCAACACAATACAAAGCAAAATTTGCAACGTTTAAAACATGTTTATTGATACAAATAACAGACGATAGTGTCAAAAAATATTACAACTAAGATTGTTGGTTAAATTGTTCTACAAGTTTTTTCTCCAAGAATTCTTGATAAGCAATTTTATGATCTGCATGCCTCAAAACTTCTAAATCGTTCACCTGTCACCCTCACAGAATACATGTAACTAGGTGGGTAGGAGAAAAACGTTTCAGCTGTTGACTCGAGAGGGTCTTCTAATCTCCAATGAAAGAAATAGTTCAGCATACATTGTAGTTCGTGGTTCTCAGTGTTCTGATGTAGTTCCATCAATGAATCGACAAACATAGAATCTGGATCTTTTTCCAGTTGTTGTAAATGTTCGAGTACATCTCTACCAACCGCCAGTTTTAGTACCCTCATTGCCTCAGCGAATTCACTGCACACCATACGCGCTTAGCATTCACTCGTTCGATCGCTTGTAAACCATACATTTGCCATCGTTCGTTTTCGTTCATCACGAGGCAGTCATGACTGTCATGTTGCCCTTGACTAGGATGGCCGACTTGACATTTGGTCGCGTTACCTGTCACATTTGGCCCAAGCTTGCCCGCTCTAATTGGTCGCGTTACCGGTCACATTTGGCCCAGGCTTGCCCAGCAAAGTGACGTCATAGTTTTGCATACTAATTACTTCTGGAGCAAGTAACGTTTTGGCGGCATCCCTTTGAACTCCAGATGGGGGAGTTTTACTACTTATATTTATTTTCGGGCGGAGTGTTTTCACACAATTTCGAGTTTTCCCAATTTCCACGAGTGTTGATATAACTGTATATCAATACGGAAAAAAAGTTTTATATCTGTTTTATAATATAGCACAAAGAAACATAAAGAAAGAAATTTTCCGACGTTTCCGTGTTGACATTGAGTTATATCAACACGGCTCTTAGCCAATCAGCGTTCAGAATTTACAAATGCTATATTATAATTCTATTTATAATATAGCATTTGTAAATTCTGAACGCCGATTGGCTAAGAGCCGTGTTGATATAACTTAATGTCAACACGGAAACGTCGGAAAATTTCTTTTTTTATATTTCTTTGTGCTATATTATAAAACAAATATAAAACATTTTTACCGTATTGATATACAGTTACATCAACATTCGTGGAAATTGGGAAAACTCGAAATTGTGTGAAAACACTCCGCCCTTCGTGCGTCGTGTTTAATTCTACACAATTTCTCGTTTTCCCAAATTCCACTCGTGTTGATATAACTAGTGTATATCAACACGGAAAATGTTTTACATTTGTTAAATATTTTACTATTTCGCTACGGCCCTGGTCATCGACGGATGATGTTGCGTACAATACAACGTTTTACAAAGCTTTTATTTCAAAAAAAGACGATACAATAGATATATTAAACTGTTATCTCCCAAAATGCAGAATACTGTTATCACTATTATCAAAGTCAAGTGTTCGCCCGCAAAAGAAACATTATTTTTTTTATTATTATTTTAAAATATTTATACTAGGGCTAATACACGGTGGCCTTTCACATCATCACTCATGTGTTCACATGAGTCAGTAATATGAAATTATGTCAACAGTATCGCTAGTCCGTACCATTGAACTACATGACTGAGCTCTGGCCATGTTTAATCCATTTAGGCCAATTTAGGCCAGTGTTTAATACTGGTTTAACAAGTCCCTGTCTTAAAGGACTTAAAGCCCATTTTCCACTACTCACTAGGCGAATTTGTTCGCGCGAAGCGAAGCGAAAAATAAATCTTGGCAATGACCAATGTGATTGAGCAGTGAAAAGACTCGTCGCGAAAAAGTCGGATCAGATGATTCAGATCAGCTCCTACTTTTTTACTGTTCTCGAGAACAGATTCGGCGTAGTGGAAAATGGGCTTTACTTGACTTTACTAATATAATAAAAAACTTCGTCGTCCAGCCGTCCACCGTCTAGCTTGCGTGGCAGACGGTCAACCCGCCGCGGAACACCTAGAACCGGGCGAGGCGAAGGAGACCCAAAGACGGTTTAATATCTTTTCATGTCACGCAATCACGAAACCTAATCCAATCCCTATCCCTAACCTTAATTAACCTCCTAACCAATCATATTTCGTGACTGTGTGACATGAAATATAACCCCCTGATTTGGTTCGTCTGCCGTGTATTCGGAATTACCCGTCCATCAGTGGACGGGAATCAGTGATTTATGATTGGCTGTACTAGTTTTGTCGCTGTCAATCAAGAAGAAATATGCGTTAATGTCATAATTTATTGATAATCGCTTTATTAGCATGACCATATTTTACAGGTATTGCTAAAGCTTAACTATAACGTAACAATGTAACATATGAAAATATTTAAGAAGTAGACTATAAGACGATACTATTTACAGGATGGAAAGTTTAACTAATGACTACCAGCATTCCCGGCTTCAAGTTGTTTAAGTCTTTCCTCAAAACACGAAAAAATAAATTTCGATAATTTCAGGATGGTGTTACTGGCAGTTGACTTCATTATGTCAACTGATAAAGTTGGTTCGTTTAAGTTTGTCTCAGTAGTAGTGAGATCGTTTTTTAGACTGTTTATAAAGTTTACTCGAGTGTCACCGTAAGCCTCGCAAGTGAGGAGGAGGTGAGATTCATTTTCGACTTCTCCCGAGTGACAAAGGTTACACAGTCGTTCTTCTCGGGCTATATTATGGTATCTACCAGTTTCAATCTGCATGAAGGCTATGGTTACTTAATCTGAATCGTGTTAAGGTTTTCCTTTTGTTTGAGTCTTTTATTATAGATAAGTACTTTTCTAGTTCGTAATCTATCTTGATGGTTGAATAAAAGGTTAGTTTCGAGGAATTTTCAAGTTTGTGTTTCCAAAATGTGAGGTAATTTTCTTTAAGACGTTTGGTAATAGGTTGAATAAGTTCAGTTGTGATTGATTCCAAGTCAGTGATTTCTGTGTTGAAGTTAAATGCTTTCAAAATATCCATTGCTTTTCCATAATAAGAAGTGTTCTGTTTAGTAAACAAATCTTTTGAGATTAGGAAAGCTTGTTTGGCAATTGCTGTTAATTTCCGATAAAGAGTTCAAATGAGTGATGTACTTGAAAAGTCTTTTGAAGATATTAATAATTAGAGGGAATTTTCCAAGTTCACCTCTTGAGGCGATATTGCTAGCTTTTTTACCAACACCTAGATATAGTTTGCAGAATCTAAGGTGGACTTTTTCAATAGGTAACTTGTCCCAATTGTTAAAATAGTTTTTTACATATGCACCCCATACTTCAGAGTTGTAAAGAAGGATGGGGCTTATAATTCGATCGAAATTTGGGTTAAGATGGTGTATATTAAGTCGTCTTCTCATACTGTATAGTGCGTGGAGGGCTTTTTCGCTCAACTGTTTAAGAGCTAAAGTGAAATTACCATTGTTATTCATCTTAATGCCTAAATAACAGTATTCTTTTCGAACAGTTATATCTTTCTTTCCGAGATTAAAAATTGGTTTCGCTTTTTTAGAATTTGTTTTTTCAAATATCATAACTTGTGTTTTCTTTAAATTTACCTCCATAAGCCATTTATTACTCCAGCTGTGGAGGTCATCCAGACATTTCTGGAGACCGAACCTTGATCTAGATAGTATGATTAGGTCATCAGCATATAAAAGACAGCTCAGTTTTGTTCCATTTGTAAGTATAAATGGATCAGAGCTTGTGTTGTCAAACAAAGTAGCTAACTCGTTTATATAAATGTTGAAAAGAAGAGGACTCAGTATACATCCCTGTCAGTTCTTGTTTTGCTTTGTTTAACAGCGCATTTTGAATTTGAGTAAAGACTTTTAATAAGATTATAAAATTGACCATCAATTTTGTTTTCTAGTAATTTAAAAAATAAACCTTCGTGCCAAACCGAGTCAAAAGCTTTTTTGAAATCTACGAAACATGCATAGATTTTGTCATTTTTTTTCTGTTTAATATGTTTGTCAATTAATGTTTTCAAAGTAAAAATATGGTCAGCAGTTCTATGACCTGATTGAAACCCAATTTGCGATGGATGTATTAAGTTTTGTTCAAGACTAAATTTACTTACGTTTACGGCAAACGTCAAACCGCTAGCGAAGTTTTTGATTTTACAACTCTATTATAATAGTTTTTACACCAGTTTTGAAATATGTTAAACAACTATTAAACTTGTGCTCTTTAGCAATGATTTAAGAAACCAAATTAACCACTAGTCATTAAGGCCCGTCCACACGTGTCCGGATAAATTTGAAAACGCATAAATATTTATCCGTTTTCAAAAAGTTCTGCGTCCACACGTTGTCGTTTCTGAATCGTTTTTGGCGTCCACACATAAACGCGAAAACGATTTGAAAACGCTGACATCGCCTACTGAGCATGCTCTTTAGAGAAAACATGTGACCGCAATCTCGCGTACGCCGAGCCTGCATTCCTTTTGGGCTTCGCTGCTTCGCCGCAAAACAAAGCAAAACATCAAACTGTGTTTGTGCCTCGTGGTTTACATTAAACAGCAGCATATATGTCGATCAAATGATGTCAAATCCAAAAGAAAAAGCACTAAATCAAAAGGAAAAGCCAAGAACGACAACTTTGTTTGGACAGACGACGAAGTCGAACTTCTTTTAAATGTCGTGGTCGAATATAAAGTAAAAAGGACAGCAGAAAATGTCGACTGGGAATCGTGTATCACAAAATACTCTGATATTTTGGATATGTTTATCGCACAGTATCCATCCCCAGAAAACGCTGAAATGATTGGCAAAAGCTTCTCACACAAAGAGCATGAACTAAGCAAAGCTAGTCTGACCGCAAAACTGAAACAGGTGAGGTTGAAGTTCCGATCTGCCGTGGATAGTTGGAGGAAAAGTGGCCATGGTAGAGTGGTCCTTCTCTACTTTGAATTATGTGAACAAATATGGGATGGCTCTCCGGCTACAACCACTTTACCGACAGGAATAGAAACCAGCGAAATACAAGACGAACTCGAGTTAAGTATGTTGAATTCTCCAAGTCCTGCTAGTAGATCTGGTACTTCTCCGAGCAGATGTGGTAACCCTACTAGTAGAGCAAGTACCCCTACTAGTAGAGCTAGTACCCCATCCACCAGCACCATAGAGCTTGACGACGATGAGCGACCTGAGAATGTGATTGAGTCCAATCAACAAAACAATGAGAATGCGAAGGATGCACCATTAAAGGAAAGGAGAGACTTACTGGACGCTAGATTGAAGGGATACAGGCAAGAAAAGCTGAAACGAAAACTTTCCATCGACTCTCAATTGTTAAGTGTTGCTCAAGATGATGTTGAGATTAAGAAAAGGTTGATAGAGAAGCTGGATAACATGGACAAACAGCAAGCAAACAACATGAGTAAACTGACTTCAAATATGGAACAGCTGACTGGGTCCATAATAGAAGGCTTTGCTATGCCAAGGCAAGTAATGCTTCAACCATGTGCCATGCCACAACAGTATACAGCACCGCAACCTGTTTATCTTGACTCCTACAACAGAATGCCTCAGCACCAGCATTCAGCAACCCAGGAGTACGGAAAATACTGTAAACAGTGATTTTCAATTTGCTCGATCACTATTTCCAAATGAAGGATTTTGAAACAGTAGGGCATATGCATATGCCACTTGGACAATTTAGCTATAGTTCTTCCTATAGTATGTAAATATGTAGTTCTTAAATACTTGTAGCTCAGTAGATCTTAATTACTTGTATTTCTGTAGTTCTTAAGTACGAGATATTGCATGATAATGTTTGTAATATTACTAAATTTTGGCTTGCTTTCATTAATTAAACTTCTATTAAACTAAATGAGTCATCCAGTTTCCATAGTCTACTAGTCTAGCTTGTCATTTTTACTTTGTCTAAAGGCCGGTTTGCACAATCAAAGCTTCTATGGTCACTCTGTGATAATGAAAGCTCTGATGATGCAACTGCCATGTTTCAAAGGTGTTTTTACTGCTAAATACTTTGTTCAAAGCATAAACTGATCACTGAAACTGAGATAGTGTAGACCAGGCATAGTGCCAGATGTTTTTTTCTGTATTTTTGGGTATTTTGCTATTCAACAAGTACATTATATTGAAAGTCCCAGTTAATTGTTAAATGCCCCTCAGTTAACACAAACCCGCCAAGTTGGCAGTTACAGTAATAAAACATCAATGTTTGTGATACATTTATTATGTTATAAACAGGATTTAACAGCATGTTAGTAGATCTATGGGTGGAAACTATGAAATTGATATATTGGTGTAATTTATGAACAGAACTGTCTTTTTGGTTCACTTGTTGACGACCAAGAAATAAGGATCCAAGAAATTTGACAAAGGATCCAAGAAATTTGTTAGGATCCTCCTAATCTTGTTGCCTTCAACCCATAGAAATAATAGACATAGAATGCGTGCTAATGACGAATCATGTCTCCACTTTTTCAGGTGCGTGCCCTTTTGAATGCGCCATTTTGAATTTTGGCCAGGAGTGCAAACTACAAAGTATAAGCAGGGCGCTATAAAACACGGGCGTGGAAACGGCTTATTATCGCGTGATCTATGTGTGATGCGCCAGAGAACTGGCACTAGCGCGCGTTTTGAGAGAAAAGCAAAAAGAAAAGCAAAATCATGGCGGAAAAAAGATTGTTGTGCGACTTTGAAAGCCAGGGCGAAAATTGACGTAAGACCTTTTTTAATGTGAGATTTCTTTGATTAATTTTTAAAAGGAACATTATATTATGCCATTAATAAACTTTTTATGTAAGAAGCATCCAACGTATTTGAGAAAATAAGTTAGTTTTTCAATTATTTTAATGTGAGGGGCACCAAATTTTATTACTCTACGCACGACAGCAGAGATTAAAATCAATGCTGTCTGAACACTAAGTAGGCCTAGATAAATTTGATAGCTTAAAAATGTGTGGAGTTTCTCTGGCTTTAGTACACAATATATACCAAGACCGGCTTTTACCGGCTTTTTTTGCTATGCTTAAATTTTGGCAGTAACATAATTTTCTCGACAGCGCGTGAGAGCTAAAACATAAAAAGCTTACAAATCGCGGTCAAACTATAAGTCAATGTCAACATTGCAACACAATTTTTCAGTAGATTAAATTCTTAAAAAACTTTAGGTGAACATAATTGTTTTCAGAATTTTTAACCCTGTCAGCATAATTTAACACTTTTCTATAAACCCAATAAGAAGTGTCTTTTCAAAGCGAGCAAAAACTTTTCTTTATATACATTGCATTAAAGTTCTCAGTTTACTTTTTTCATGCATAGACAAAAATGTCTTGTTAATATTTCAACATGCATAATGTCTAGTTCATGTATAAACTATAGCTGTTTACCACAAAATTTACAGTTAGAATGATATATAGTACCACATAATTTATAATTTTTACCAACAGAAAGTCGGCTTTTTTGTTAAAACATGATTTTTCGGTTTGGTATTGACATGGTCGTACATGAAACAACTGTTAGCCATTAATTTAGTATGCAGGAAGCGCGGAAAAAATGTTTCGACTTTTCTTTTCCTAGGTGAAAAACGTTGCCTGAAATTTTCCACAGTTATTAATAAAGTTATGGAAATTCGATTTTTATTAAAACGAAGACCGGCTTTTTTGTGAAAACACAATTTTTCGGCTTGGTTTTGCCATGGTCTCACTCGAAAGGACAAGGTTCATGTTTGGCCATGAAACTCAAACCGCGGAAAAAATATTTTTATTTATATCTTTTTTCCTAGGTGAAAAACTTGGCCTAAAAATTTGCACAGTTGTTGATAAAGCTATTGAAAATCAATTTTTATTAAAAAGAAAACCGGCTTTTTTGTTAAAACATATTTTTACCTGCATGGTTTTTTACTCATGAAACACGAAGCGCGGAAAAAAATGTTTCGACTTGTATCTTTTTTCCTAGGTGAAAAACTTTGCCTAAAATTTTGCACAGTTATTAATAAAGTTATTGAAAATCGATTTTTATTATAAGGAAGACCGGCTTTTTTGTTAAAACATGATTTTTTCCACCTAGTTTTGACCTGGTCTCACATGAAACAACGAAGGTACTGTCAGCCATTTTTACTCCTGAAACATGAAGCGCGGAAAAAAAAGTTTCGACTTGTATCTTTTTTCCTAGGTGAAAAACTTTGCCTAAAATTTTGCACAGTTGTTGATAAAGTTATTGAAAATCGATTTTTATTAAAAAGGAGACCGGCTTTTTTGTTAAAACATGATTTTTTCACCTAGTTTTGACCTGGTCTCACATGAAACAACGAAGGTACTGTCAGCCATTTTTACTCCTGAAACATGAAGCGCGGGAAAAAATGTTTCGACTTGTATCTTTTTTCCTAGGTGAAAAACTTTGCCTAAAATTTTGCACAGTTGTTGATAAAGTTATTGAAAATCGATTTTTATTATAAAGAAGACCGGCTTTTTTGTTAAAACACAGCTTTTTGGCTTGATTGGCCATGGTCTCACTCAAAAGAACAAGGTCAATGTTGACATGTTTGACCATGAAACTCAAACCGCGGAAAAAAGTTTATTTATATCAGTTTTTTTTCCAGGTGAAAAACTTTGCCCAAAAATTTGCACAGTTGTTGTCAAAGTTATTTAAAAGTGATTTTTCTTAAAAAGAAGACTGACTATTTTGTTAAAACATGATTTTTTTTACAGGCACTGTCAGCGATTTTTATTCATAAAACACTCAGCGATTTTTACTCTTGAAACACGAAGCACGAAAAAAATATTTCGACTTGTATTTTTTTCAGTTCTCTGTGACGTTAAAAGATAGTCCCAAGCTATAGTCTCGTAGGAAAAACCGTATCTTTAGAAAAAATATCCGTTTCAACCACTTTTTGTCTTTAAAAGTGCACTGACCTTTTCAGGCTGTTCTAGGCAAACCACATTTTCTTTACAATCTTCTCTCTTGACTGTAGCATAAACTTTAAGTAAATAAACCTCTCATTCCATATAGTTCATCCCAGAGGTAAATCGTTTTTGTGTTCATTTGCAAATGAGTTTCAACTAGGCCATGTTTCTTATTTTAACTCTAGCCGTGTCTTTTTTTTCAAAATATTCAAATGTTGATATTCGAATGAGAATTTCCAATATTCGAAAACCTACGGGGGGGTCCGCGCATCACACATAGACCAGGGGCATCGTTGCCGTTTCCACGCCCGTGTTTTATAGCGCCCTGGTATAAGCAAAGCTAAAACTACGTTTTAATCAGTCAAAACGTTTTGTCTTGTTGTCTAATTTGTAGTTTGGGGATAGATTTTGAGTTCCTTGAAGGCACAAACTGTCAAAGCAAATATGCAGTTACAAAACACTATGAAAACAGTGAAAATCGTGCAGCCTTTTAAAAGCAAAGTAGTTTCGCGAAAATATAATTTACTCAAAACATTTTTGCATGCTCTAAACGTAACTGTTTTGCTAATATCTTATAAGATTACAAAATGGTAGTTCTTTCTTCGTCGGGTTTCGTTTTTCTGCAATGTAAACGAAGTGTTTTCATGTTCTTGAAACATTTTATAGTTGTCGATAAACTGTAAAATTGCCTAAAAATAATCGTCGAAAACCAAGGTTTCAAAAGCGTTGCCTCAAGCTCAAGCAACGTAGATAAATATGAAATATAATTTTGTAAGTTTAAAAAGATTATTGAACTCCATTTATATTGTAAAAAAGTAGAAATATTTGTAGAACATACCTATTGAGTTTGTCTTGATCTTTTGTGTTTTGTTTTGGCTTGCACAACAACATATAACGTTGAAAATTTATTTTTAAACGACGATTTCTGCATATATTCTGTTCAGAACTATTGCTTTTCGTAAAAAAACCCACTGGAATGGGTTTTTAGACACTTTTCCTTAGTTTACCAAACTTTTTTTCCATTTTAAGTCCCGATATAAAAGTTTTTGCAAACTTTTCAGTTGAAAAAATAATTCGCACTCCGTGCAACCGCGCGAAATTCCCTGCCTCAGGAGTCTGGGACCAACCAAAATGCCCTTTTCAATGCGCCATTTTGTGGAGACAATTTTTTTACTGAGAAAAGATAGGAGCACGCATTCTATGTCTATTATTTCTATGCTTCAACCTCATTGCAGTCAGTTCGAAAGTTATTAGTCGCAAGAATGGGCTGAAAGCTTCTATCATAGTCAATAGCAGCAGTGACGTTCTCTTCTCCAATTCTTTCATTGTTCATCTCACAGAAATTGTGCAAGACAAAACAAGCATAAATCACATATTGGAGATCGTCAATATTGACATCCATGGCTCTCTTAAGAGCTGCAAATCGGGCTTTAAGGCGGCCAAAGGAGCACTCAATAACCATTCGAGACTGACATAGGGTCATACCAAAGTATTGTTCCTGCTGAGTTGCGCCACCATTTGAGTATTCTTTCATCAGATACAGCATGAGTGGGTATGCTGGATCACCTAACAAAAATACTGGAATGGGATCTTCATCGGGTAAAAGATGCCGCCTACATGGGGGAATTTCTTCATTCTTCAATGCAGGGTTGAGGTTGGAGTTGGCAAATACTCTAGTATCGTGAACACTTCCAGGCCACTTCA